ATCAGTTTTCCATTCACTGTCCTCAGACTCCATGTGTGTAAATTCTCCCTATTGACAACACAGTGATGTAAGAAAACATGAACTTCTACTTTTCTCCAGGACTCTGTGACTCCTTGAAACAAAATGAATCAATTCAAGAATTAGCAGGTCTTTTAAAGTGCAGTGTAGTCGAGTAGAAGCATCTAGGGGAGGGGGTCTATAAATCTGGAATCTTTTTTTTTTCTAATTTCTTCCACTTCTACTACATGTTCTATGTAGCCTTTGGAGTCAGATATCCATTCCTGGCCATATTACATTGGACAAGTTATTTAACCACTCTAAGCCTCAGATTTCACTATTTGAAAAATAAAATTCTGTAAACATGTAGCTACATCTCCCTACAATTTTGAGCCAAGTTCTGTGCCTAACTTTTCTTATGAGGGGCAGTGGATACTTTCTGCCTTGGTACTCCAAGAAGACTTCAATGGATATTCACACACTTGAAGAAACGACGATTGTGCAGGAATTTACAATTAACATGTTTGAAATTTTATTAAAGGATGTTTTTGAAATCTTGGCAAATCTTTGTTTCAACAAGAAATTTCCTGACCCGACAAAGATAACTAGCAAAGGTAGAGATATCAGCTCACACTTAAAAAAAAAAAAAAGTGGCTTGAATTTCTAAAATTTGCCTGGGAAAAGGTTAATACATGAAAAAGTCACTTTGCCTAAAAAAGGCAATTATTGCCAATAAAGATTGGTAAGAAATTCTCAGTTTTTTTTTTTTAAATGGGAGATTCTTCCCTGCTCCTTTATTGGATTTATTCGGTTTGTTCTTCAGGATTAAGGAGGCAGCTACATCCTAATGTTCATTCAATTTTAGGATAACCACAAAGGTTTTATGAGTGTGAAATGCTAGTTACACAAATATGAAATGGATCTGTGATGAAGGTACTGAGTATATGATAGAACATTCCCAAAGGCATTTCACCGGGGACCTCAGTTTTCCTTCTAGAACATCAGCAAACAATTCAAAATTAATGTAGCACACCATGCAATTTGCTATATTGCTACACTAGCCTGGTAATTTTTTTCCTCATTGTATAAAAACTAATTAGTTAAAGGGCAATTCAAATGAAACTTTTATTGGGGGGATTTAGAAGTATTAAAGCAAAGGGGAAAAGACAGCAAACATACACTGAAGCTCTCTGGATAGCATGAATACGATTATTAATAACCCTTGGGTGGGGAAATGATTAACCTTGTTATTTTCCTCACCATCCAAGTTTCTACAATAAATTGGCACTGCACAAAAATATTTAGATGCTGTATGGAAAACAACTTTTACAAGGTCTCCAACTGGCATCAAATATTTTCAAGTATGAAAACATCTCTGGGCTTTCTCAACAGGCTGATGGATCCCTGCAGGTAGCACTTCCCTTGTTTAATAGTCCTGCCAATTAAATCAAATTAGAGATGAATTTTTAACTCTGTGATGAAGGCAATGCTCATTATAAGAGAAAACAGGAAAATGAGATATTTCCCTTAAGTGAATTGCTGTTTCAAATTGAATAATTTGGGGATGGCAGAGGCCAGGGAAGGGGAGCCAAACAACTTCATCAATATTCTCTGCTTTATATGCTATCATGTCAGTCATATGAAAGGAAATAATCTATAGGCAGGGTCACCAGATATTCATGTCTTTCTTTTCTTTTGTTAGTCTTCTAAGACATTTCTAATTATTTAAAAATTCCAAGTCTTTCTTGATGTGATTTTCCATTTCATGCATGGTTGACCTTTAACCTCTGACTCATCTGTCATTCGCTTTTGTAGGAAGTGATAATCACCCACACAAAGCTATTTGTTCATTAGGCCAATTCTTGATTGTCTAATTGTGCTATTTATAATATATAGTTTAACATAATTAGTAGAATCATTTGCTTTGAAGGACTAAGGGTCAGATAATGTATGCTAGAAGTCAATGATTAGTTTATCACTTTAACCCATTTATCACTTTATACCCGTTACAGGTCAACTATTAATTTGGATCATTGGCATCAACACATGTTCTCGTAAATAAAATTGTGAATGTTTACTTATAAGTATACTTTATTAAAAAAAAAGCAAAACCTGAATGAATTGGTACCACATCAGGTAAGGTGAAACAAAACATTGATGAGAAGGCTCCTGGGCTGCCGATCTATTTTGGGGTTCATTAATTGCTCACAATATCATCAGTATTTTTTCATCCATGGTCAAAGCACATCAAAAGGAGTGAGTTTTAAATCAACTACCCTTGGGATGTTTGGGAAACCTATTTCCTAACAGATAGACAACAGCAGTACAAATGACCTTAATGGGAAATTTGTTTCAAAAGTATTTTTAGCAGATGATCGGAAAGGATGACTGCTCTGTCCATGTATGCCTTAATACAGGCATTGAGAATTTGAGATCTATACTGAAATCTATCTGGACTCCCAAAACTTTAGTCATTGTGTATATAGCATATGTATGTAAACTTATGGTTACACACATCAATAATTTACATCAATAATATACATCATTTCTTTTCCTTGAGATACACTTTGATGATCAGAGTCTCATGGGTGTTATATTTGTTGTAATGGTATCTTCCTTCATAGTTTGTGGAATGATGCTCATTGATTTCTTCTTTGGGGTAGGGGAAAAAGCCCTGGCAAACACCCAAACTTAGTTAAAAATCCAAGCAGCTTCCTCTTCTCCAACTTGTCCCTTGGAAACTCCCTTGCCATACCCTCTAGAACAGGCACCGAATTGTCTACAGGGGAATTCTTGCCCCTTGGAGAGAAAAGAAATACCCTATGCACACGGCAAGCACCTTATAAGCCCACAAAGAAGGAACTTGCGAATGCCATTAAAGTAACCTAGAAGATACGATCATGTTTGATGGTTTTATCATAAAAATCTCTGTACCTTAAAAGCCAGGCAACAGGCAAGCTAATCATGTGTGATGTTGGGTGACCCCTGGGAGCTCTTACATCCTGCTGGCTGGAAACCTGAGAAAACACCCATTGCATTCCAAGCTGAGAAGCCCTAGGTGTACTGAAGGCAGAGTACAAATTGTCACTTTGAGACAAATGGCTTTTGTCGCAGGTATTATGAGCTAAATTTTCCTAGTTTCCTGATAGTAAAGATTAATACATTTTCCAAAGGCACAACAAAGCATCCTTTCAGGTCACCACTGATTTCAAAATAAAGGAAAACAATACTGGAATTTCCCAATTCAGTATGTAAAAGGTCAACATCTGCTGATGCTCAGAGATGGGGGATGTGGTGAAAGCTGCCGAATGAGATGTTGAGTGAGCAGTACAGTCAGAGGGTCCATGCAACACGCAACTGGCACTCTGAACAGAACACAACCAGCGCCAGAGAACTACTTTTCCATCCATCCATTTCTGAAACTTTTACAGGCCAGGTCACAAAAGCAGCCTCAGTGATTTGTTTGAACTTGGTTCTGTTTGGTTCCCTTTTTCTCTGAAACACATATGCAAATACAATTGTCAAGGCCTGAAAGGAGCACACTGTGGGGCACCTGTGCAGTTAGGCAAATGCCCTGGGAGGTGGGTACTCTGGCAGAAAATTTAGACTATTAAAGCTGTAGGCTCTCATTTGCCAGGTTGCAGCACTGATACTATTTTGGTTAAGATCACAAAGAGATGCTGTATTATTAGCCTGTGAACAATAAATGGATGTGAATGCTACCGCTATTTACAAAGCCACTGATTTTCATGCCATTTAACATGTCTAGTGCTGACAAATCAGTGTCTGGGCCTATTCACAAGCTTAAGTAAACAAGGTTGGTTTATAAATTGGAGAACCTGACTGTGCATTTTCAAGAGGGAAGTTGTTTTGTACAAATTATCAGAGTATTGCCTTTTTGTGTGTTAGATATGGCAATGCTTCCACTGGGATCACCATGCCTAGTACAATTCTTATGACACAAGCCTTTGAAGGGTGACACCACAGAGAAAATTCTTTTATAGTGCAAAACTGAGGATCCCTCAGTACTTTATTTCTAATTGATATTCAGTCGCTTTTCCCAAGGTTTTAGCCATTGGAAATGCAGGGTGTAATATATAAAAGTATGTGAAATTCTGCTCATACTCAGAGAGAGGCTCGGTGTTAGAGTATCATTGCTTTATGTGCAAAGAGGGAGCTGCAGTCTGGGACTCTCACGGAAGTCAGAGAATATTATTTTCAGTGACGCTGGAAAAGTGTTACACAGAGGGTTGAAGAGAGATTCCTCTTCAGTTGCGTAGATTTTTACAGAAAAGACTTCTTGCTAGAGTTTCTGGTCCGCTGACTCCTAAATTCTGAATATATTTTGCATACCCCTTCTGTATCAAATATAAACCTAAGTACTCAAAACATGTGGATCACGGTATTTTAGGAGGAAGAAATGGACATACTGATTATCTTTTTTTCCTTCATTCCTCCAGATAGACTAATGCTGAATCTGCCTCTTTCAGGCCTTCACAAAACCTCAAGTTTAATGCATTAACAAAATTCCCTCCTCTTCTTTTCATGCCCCCTCATTTTTGGTTCTAATGAATATGCTCAAGGCATTCATTGGTATTCATTCTCTGCTTCTCTAAATTATGTTAGAAATCCATATCCAGTCATAAAAGAAGAGTTCAATTTGTTTGTTGACTACTATGTATAGGTAAATAGGAGTGTTTCCATTTTTGCCAAATGAACTACAGTTTCCAAGTTATTGCACCTCTGTACAGGTGGCCATCATTGATCAAAAGTATTCTGGAAAGCTTCGGCTCTGACATGTCCACAGGAGAGTTGTGCATAAATAACTGTTCTGTGTTCTCACCATGTCTGTGCAGAAAACCGAAACAAAAATGCAATTCACAAGGAAAATGCTCTACTGTATCAGAAATGGACACTGGGAAAATAGATCTGAAGAGCTGAACAACAAAGCAAAGCTAGCCTAGACTTGGTTTGGTGATTTTTTTTTTTTTTTTTTTACTTACTACCAATACTGGAAATACTGGGAATACCTGCAGAGAAAGAAAACAGTAAAGAAAAACTGTTAGCTATTTCTTAGTACATGACATCTTTAACTTAATATATAAAGTTAAGAAACTTGATACGTGATAACATTCAGACCATTAAGTTTAGCACAGAAAAACAATTAAACCAATTTGTTTTTATTTTTGAGCTCCTGGGCTGATCAGAATTGGAAAATTAATGTTCAACTTCAATAGCTGGTGTAAGGAAGCCTCATGGTGGCATGTATTTTGTGTTTGCCTTTAAGGTTCATGGATATTTGTCTGTGGTTCAAAATAGGTACTGAGCTAGGTTTATGTTCTGGGAACAGCATACCAAATATCCACTGTGTGGACCTGTGCAAATATATCCACATATGCAATAGATCTTTTTAAATGTGTTATGAGATGCATGTGCTAGCTGTTGAAAATCATTTGGCACTTTTTTGATTAATTTCACATAACCATCATTTTTATTCGTTCTTTACTTGTCAGATATGTGGATTAAACCCTATAATAGAAACTTAATTGAGCAGAATAATTCAAGAATACATTAGGTAGTTCATATTGATCATGGACCTCATTGATTTTCCACCTTTCAGTTTAATTCACAAGTTGTGCTAAGGTAGTGGAGCCATTTCAGAATGTGGCCTAACTTGGGATGTACATAGACATGAATTTAGTTTGTATCCATGTTAAAACTTCTAACCAAGCAATACATATCACTGTGGTCAAGAGTAGAGGCTCAGGAGTCAGGCAGTTTAAAGCATGGCTCTGACCCTAAATTTTCACCAACTGAGTGACCTTGGGGCAAGTTGCTTATGCCTTCAATTACATTGGCTTAGTCTCCTAACTCTCTGGGTTGTTGTAACAATCATATAAATAGATAGATGGAAAGTCCCCAGATATTGTTGCACAAGTTGTATGTGTTGTATCTATCCTTGCAATGATGACTCTTATTGCTATGGTTGGTTCACCGAGCAACACTCTTATGAATATTGCTAGCTAAAAGACAGAGACATCCATGCTCACCACTAAATCTGGGTGGTGATGGGGGTGAGAACATGAATTTGGAATCACAGACCTGTGGGACAGTCCTGCTTTGCTACTCATGAGTTGGCAAGTTCCCTAGCTTCTGCTTCCTCATCAGAAAAGGGACTAATACTAAAACTCTCTGAGGCTGCTGTGAGGATTGAACAAGATAATCCATAAACATGTCTGACACATGGTACATAGCCAATAAATGATAGCTGTTAATAAGCTGTTCAACTTATTCTTCACATCATTAACTGTAGTAACAGGTGTTAACTGTAAGAATCATTATGCTTCCATTTTAGTACTTCTCTTTGAACAACTGCCCTCCAATTTTAACTAATCATTGTACCCTGCTCAGAAATTTCTAGGTTGGCATTATTTTTTAAAACTACGAGATATTTTCTTATGTCTGATAAGAAAGGAGAAAGTGAGGAGTAAAGGCTTCCTAGGTTTTATTTACTTTTTTTAACCCTGAAAGGAATGAAATCTTACTTTCATTTATTAGATACATTAAAAACCTCTTGATTTTAAATACTCAAGAGTTTATAGTGTTTCAGCTTAATTACTGATCTCTGATCAACCAAAACTGGAAAACTAAGTTTCCATTTCCATATTTTAACTCTATTCTATGAACTGAATTTCAAGCTGAATGTAATTTCTGTGAAGAATGGCTGGCTTCCTGACTCTGCACTTCAGAAGACTGTCTTTGCTGCAGTGTGACATTGACTTGGGACTGAATCTTTCTTTCCTTTTTCCTTTGCAAATTCCCCATTGGGTTAGGTATGATAGCAGCATCATAATTTTAGAATCAATTGCAGAAGCTCCAAATTTCCTCCATGATTGAACATCCTGCTCCATTGCAAGGAAACTGCTTGCCTGTTGTAATCCATCAAAGAGAATGGAAGTTAAGATGGCCAAAGAGACTTCATATGTTTTCAAACTACATGGAGTCCGAAGTTCTTGGGGTGTTTGGCAAGACACAATGGAAGCAAATTTGCCAGATTGTTTTATGCAGTACTTGCTACAGTTGAAAACTTCAGAAAGACATAGAAATGTTTCCATTCCCTTGGGGATACCACTGCAGGAAAGTCATGTTCATTCCAAGAATATACGCCACGCCAGACAAGGCCATTCTGAGAGCCTATTTTCCTCGTGAAGATGTTATTGCCTAGCATTGGATGCTTAAAATTCAGGTTCTTCTTCATTTTGTGGTTTACAATTTTTTTGAGAGATTGCCAGATGACTCACTTTCTATTCCACTGCAGTAAAATGGGAATGGCTTAGAAAAGATTTTTAAACTGCTCATTTGAATAAAGATTTTTGAAGTTGAAAATATCTGAACACCAACGGTGTCCATTAGTATAGTTTCAGATGCTATTTTTTCCCCTAATGGTTCTTATTTTACAATGTCCAAATAATAACCTTGTTTTTAGTTACCTGCAGACACCTAAAGAATTTCATAAACCTCTCACATCTATTAAAAAGGCTACAAGTTAGCCATGAGAGATCCTTCAAACACTCTAGAATATAAGATAGGAAAGCCTGGAAATGAATTTCAGCAATTCATTTCATGAAAGGTGGGTGTCTTTAGGCCCTGTGAGGCATGAATCAATGAATTCGATTGCATCTTACAACAGCAACTGTGACCATAAGCAACACAAGTGAGTCAGATTATGTTCAGGAAAATTGTCTAGGCACATGTTGACAGTTTAAAACATTCCCTGTGATGTGACATCTATTATGTAAAGAATATGTTTACATTTAAAACTGGACTCAAAAGTTATTTCTTCCCTTTCTTTTTCATATCCCTGATGTGAGGTAGCTGCTCTCTCCTTTGTGATCTCACAGCCCTTGGTACAGGTCTCCATGATCAATGTATCAATTTATTTGTGATTGTTTTTGTTTTTGCCTGAGAGCACCAAGGGGACCTCACCCCAATCCTTATCATTTCTTTGTCTCTATATCTTCCCAGGATGATGCCTGATACCTAAGAACTTCACAATGTGTATTTACAAAAATTTATTATGTGTTTCCATGAAGGTTCCTATCATTGTGAAAACATCATTTTTGATCATAGTATAACTTTTTAAAATATTTTTTAGTTGCAGAAAGACACAATGCCTTTATATATTTATCTTTATGTGGTGCTGAGGATTGAACCCAGGGCCTCACACATGCTAGGTGAGTGCTCTACCACTGGAGCCACATCCCCAGCCCCCATAGCATGATTTTGTCCCCTATAAAGTGTTTCACTGAAATTGAGTTCAGGCTTAAGGAACTTTTTTGTTGTTTTTGAATTCATAAGGCTCTTCTGATAGCAAGAGTTGTGTGTAGATTTCTTTTCACTGCTTTGTATTTCATGAAACTCAGAGGCTTGAGCACAAATGGGTCCTCATCTGGGGAAACTGTCCAACACTTAATGTTTGGCTCATTTTCTTTCTATTCCTTTTCTCAGATCTTCCTTTTTAACTCTCATTTTGATGCTCTTATTTCTATCTTTCTATTTCCCTAAGCCATCCAGAGGGAATACAGATTTTTGTGAGGCCTTGAAGGGCATACGAATTTGAGAGCTCTCCTTAAGACAAAGGACATATTATTAAAATATAAATTTAGACATGAAGCTGAACTTTTTTATTTGGAAAGAATCAAGTGAGGAACCTGAAGCTTGATTTTATTAGGGAAAGTCCATCTCTGAAACAACCTCAAAACTACTTAAGACAAGTAGCTGATAGGAAGGTAAAAAAGGAGGGAAGGAAGACAAAGACAAGAAAGGTTAATTCTCAAGAGTGATAAAAAAAATTTGAGAACTGAAAGGAACTGAAGAAGTCATCTAATTCAGTCCTTCTGTTTTACAGAAGGGGCATAAGGAGGTGCAAGTGCCTCCTCCAAGTTGTCCCTTCATATTGAACACTGAGGTATGTCATTTCTGGTGTCTGAGACATTGCTAAACTTGCACTGAGGAAAGGAAGCATAGACATGCATGGGCTTCAGTGAAAGTTTCTGTGATACACAGTATATGATCTTAGTACTAATACATCTTCTAGAATAGAAATATCACATCAGCGGACAAATACGTACAACTCACAGGGCCACTATGCTACCACCTTCCAGAAGAATAAGGAGAGACTTGTCTGGTAGGTATTTGCAGTCCTTCCCCCCTCAGTGAGCCCCTTCTACACCCACATTTATTTTAATGATTTGTTTTAAAGGAATTTATGTTGCAATTAGGCAGATAAGAAGAACCTTGTAGAATTATATAATATGATATTTTCTGGTTCTTATTCTTTAAAAAAAATGACTGCCCCTCCCCCACCAAGCAATAACTGAAGGGTGGGTACATAATTAAGATGCTCATTAGTATATTTTCAGATGCTGTTTTTTTTCCCCCAATGGTTCTTACTTTATAGTGTCCAAATATGGAAGCCAACATGATGGAGATCTCAAAAATAAATACCCCGATCTGCAGAAGCAGATAAATGCAGTGCTGAAAGCTATAACTCCTTTTGAGAGTCAATGGAAGGTTCAGCAGCTTTTCATCAAGAAGGAAGCAGAAGGGATAAGGATTCAGCATGCTTCAAACTGAAAGGAAAAATTACTACTGTTGTGATAGATGGTTTAACACAACCCATCAAGCAGGTGACTAGATCTTGCAGGCAGACTGTAACCATCGGGAGCTCTAACTCCAAAAAGGCTAGTTGAAGAAGAAGTAGGTAATGAGTAAGAAAACATTCTGCAGATTCATTTATATTCTAGAGGAATTACTTCCAATGCCCTTCCAGCCTGAATCTCCCATCCAAACAACTGTTGATGGGAGGTGTGGTGAATTGTCTCCCAGGAACTTGAAAGTGAGGGAAATAAGATTGCTTCACAAAATTTTGCTGCAAAATTATCATCTAAGGGCTGGGGATGTGACTCAAGTGGTAGCGCGCTTGCCTGGCATGCGTGCGGCCGGGGTTCGATCCTCAGCACCACATACC